TATTCAACAAGTCCTGTATTTAGTTAGATTCTACCAAAGTACCAGAAAAGTAAGAAAACCAATCAATGCTATTCTATTTTACCTTCCACTTTCTATTTTGCCATATTCGATCAATAAAATAAATTTTAATCCCATTCACTTTATCAAGGATTAGCTTAAGTGGTATTAATAAAATGAGGTTGATAAACTGTTTCTGATATAATTTTTTGCAACTTCCTTTCATATCTTTTCATACGATGCCTAAACTAGATTTAACCCTTTGCATTCCCACCTGCTTGAAGTTCATATTTGAAATGACGATGTTGGCAAAAACGGATGACAATGTAAAGGGTCAATAAATCAAATTTAATTATTAGAGATAGGTGTGATCTCAAAGTTTATTTCGTTATGATAATCACCAGATTTCGGTTGTGATTTAAAAATCAACCATGTGCAGAGTTTCCAGCATTAGTTGCGTCAGCATTCAAACAGGCCGACAGACCGCTTCATTAGAATCATAACACTTAGATTTGTCATGGAATCATATTGATTAATGGTACGAACAATAGTGAGAGAGTTCTGGAAAGATGCTAGTATATGTTGGGATCGATGTTGAAAGGTGCCAGATAAGATGATCAAAGATGTTTCGAATCATTTTCATAGCCACAAAAATGATTATGAATAATTTGAGGGGATGTTGAAAGATGTGAGACCCAATGTAAATGGTGCAAAATCGATGTTGACAAAATGCAGACCACATACGGAGAATTGTGAAGATCGGTTTTGATAGCTATCCGAAAGGATGATAAAGCTGATATATTGATATAACTTTTGAGGACCGTCCGGGACAGAAAATCTCTTGATCCAACATTTCTTCGGACGTAATTGTTATTGAAGGATAAATACACAATAGTGTCATTCCATCTAATCGATCCTCACATATAGTATTTCTTAAATATGTTTTCAACAATTAGAATTAAAAATGTTTTCTGAAGTAGCTGTGCTCACTGGCAAGGTGCACAACATTTTCAACAACGTATAAATATGACGAAAGATAATCGAATCACAAATTGATAATACATTTAAAGGAGAATTGGGAAATTCTTCTGGAGAACTATTGTAAAATCTTCTGTATCAAAGTTCATATCTATAAAATTCTACTAGATGTTCAATTTTTAATAGTTGCCCTTCTAAATTTTCAATTTTTTCTAGTGATGGAACTAAACATCCAAAGGTTACTAAGATATCTTTGCGTGCAATAAATCTCTCAGCTAATTGTATTATGACGTTATCTAAGAATGGAATGAAAACTGATATTTTGTAATATTCTTCTGTAGTATCTGTTTCAAAATTCGTTCTATTTCTTTGCCAAGACTTGTACTTAAGTCTTGGTCTTTTTAATTGTTCTCTAAATATTGTTAAAAGATATGTCAACATTGTTTCGCAGATTTTTAGTTCTTCTATGCAATTTTCTGCAAGGGCAACTGCTTGAAACAAGTCGGTATTTATCATTTGAAGTCATTTTGACAAGGGTAGTGTGTATGCAAAACCGACTTCCATAACTAAAAGAGACAATTCGTAAGAACTTAAAAATTTTTTCAACAATGTTGCCCCAAATGACGATTCTTGTCTTTCCAAGTTGATATGTTTTCAAGAGTAGAAACTACGGACTCTAATAGTTCTTTCATTACAACAATGGAATCTTGTTGAATCCATCGCGTGGGACACAGTTGTTTCAATTTCAAGGAATTCAAGGGATCGTCTTAATTAGTTGGAAATATCATATTTGTAAATTAATCAAAAACAATGACGTTTTATTTAAATAAGATAACAGAAACGTGACTGTTTGGATTTTTTAATGTCAATAAGTTGGACGAAGCTATGAACTAACATTGTTTGTCTTACATTCATGATTTAATTTTATTGTGTTTGATTTTTAATTTAATTGGAAAATTTGTTGGGACTAGAATGCCGAACTGGATCATTTACATTATTCCAGTCATTAAAAAACTGTTGAATAGGTAACATTATAATAACAATGATTTCAATAATGGAGTTGCTGGAATGGGGGAGCTGGAGTGACTGCATTCCAGTGTCGTTTCACATTATTTCAGTGGAATTCTAGCACTGGATGTTGGAATACTAATGGAATATTGTAAACCAGGCATAACAACATAAGATTCTATGTTAAGAAAGAGCAGAGACGATGTGCAATGATGTCAAAGATAATGTTGATAAGTACTATACCAAAGAATGTCCTATACGATGTCCTGGACGACATTGAAATATCAGAGATGATAATGAAATTATTTCTTTGGATTATGATTGTGTCATGATTTTAAGAAATATAAGGGACGACGTTGAGAGGAGTCTGAGACGATATTAAAGTATTCCAGAATAATAGTGAGATTATTTTGGGGGTGAAGGGACGATTTTGATGGATGTCTGATACCATGTAAAAGTGTTCAAGCGAGACTATATTGTTCAGAAATGGTTTGTCAGAAATAATACTGAGGGATGTTAGGATCGATGTAGAAGGGTGACGGAGATGATTTGGCAAATATAAGGACGATGTCGAGAAGTGTCTGTAATGCTATTGATGGGACCAAGAATAATATTAAGAAATGTTCGTGTTTAAGTGTTCTAGATACGATATAGAAGGACGTACACCTATGACAATGTTGATGGTAGTCAAAGACAGCATTGAGTTCTCACTTTTAAGCTTTCACTGCCTCATTAAACACAAATTTTTGGCACCCTTTTCTCCTACACCACTAGGAGATAGTTTATAACATAACTACGGAAACAATTCTTGTCAAAATCTTTTTGTTATTAATTGAAAATTAAGCTTCTTCGGCTTTTCATTTCTTGTGTGTTAATTGTACAACATTCGCATTAATTCCTTAAGTTTAGTAACTTATTTGATTTTACTTTCGAACTTTATATTGCCACAAATACATCATTAACCTTTCAAAACAATGTGAGGCATTCGTGTATCTTCCCCACCCTCGTTCTAGTGTTTTATTGAATTTCAATTAAAATAAATCAACACATTGATTTGAAACAAATACACAAATTTATGTGTTTGGCGAATAATAGAAACGTTGTTGACTTTCTTTTATTATCAAGTGAAGTTCTATTTTCTATCTGATTTTAAAAATATAAAGATAATATTAATTTAGAATATGATTAATAGTATTGTAAGTCTCAATAGGACTTTTTTCTACTTTATTATACGACCTCTCGCAATATTGCGTTGAATTTAGTGTGATTCCTGATAAGAGGATCCCAAAACTGATAACCACTACAAATAATTGCCAGTTTCTTTTATCAGCAACATAACGATTTATGATGTAATTTTAGGTTAAAGTTAATAATCTACATAACAAAAACTGAACTTAATTATTTATGTGACAACAAAACGAAAGAGAAGAACTTGAAAGGTGCAATTCAACACAAAATACAAATAACAAATAGGTTAAAAACAATTCTCTGAAAATTGTATCAGTTAGAGCTATTGTTTCAATATTGCACCCGAACAATAAGTGAATTCGTAAAAAATAGTTTAATAATTTAGTTCTAATAAAATTGTGCGTCGCACTACTTGTTGTTTTGTACGTGATAAATTAATATAGCCGTTATTATTAATAGAAAAAAAATAGTATGGGTGAAAATAGAGTAAACAAAATGTAAACACGTGGAAAAGGTAAACAAACAAAAGTAGATAATTTGACACTTACTTCACATTTCTAATTAAATGTATCACTATAACCTCAATCTCTTAAATATTCACTTTCCCTGATCCGCTATGGTCAATATGAGTTCAATGCACTTATCCCTAATTTATTAATTGAAATATTGCACTTACATCTAAAAACGAAGATAATAGTGTAAATTTTTTGATAAGTTGTACTAGCACCATCTATTGAAATCTATTATCCCTAAAACCCGTTGATTATAGTATTGTCTAAGAGATAGCTTATCATAGGTTACAAGTTAAATGAACTTGTAAATATAAGAAATAAACTAATCGATGTACCAAGACAAAATAAAATTTTCATCGAATTGTTTACTTCGCTATTAATTGTAGTTTTAAATTGAATCTTTGATGGTTTATTTAACCTTCGAAACTTCGGAAATACCACCGGGATGAAGACGCCAACGTAGTAGTTGTACGATAAATCTCGTATAACCTCAATTAAACGGCAGCGCCGCAGCAAAAGGTCCCCCTTTAACGCCTTCACGAAGGCACTTCATTAGCGAACCGAAGATTACCATCTTTCGCGTGTTAAGGCCGCCCCCGGTTTATAAACCATTGCGGAAATCCAAACCAAAGGAGAAGGTTACGGAACCACGACCTGGTCATCAATCATTTTATTTTTACTTAAAAAAAAATTTTTTAATGTAATTTTTTCAAGTTTCGAATCAATTTTGATGAATTAAACTTATGATCAATTTAATTTTAGCGAGTAAATTAACATTCAAGTACGAATATAAGGCGTCAATTTATGCATACACATCGTGCAATAGTGAACAAGGTCAAGTAAGTATGAAAAACGGAGAGAGAAAGATACAAAATGAGAGTGGGAACTGAACTGCGACTTAATTTCTTTTTTTAAAAGCGGCGCTTCTCTCGAAGCGTCCTTCCCGCAAAAATTATCAACTCTATGGCGAACAGTTCCGAAAAAATATATAATCCATAATCTCGAGTTGTTATCTAATCTCAAATGTAAAGTTAGATTTGAAAATCCTCAGGAAAGAATAAATAAGTAGATATTATTTGAAATAAATAAATAAGCAAGAAAAATAAGGTAGCAAAAATTTTACAAAAAATTTAAGTGTAAACGCGTTTAAAAGTCCTTGAAACGTATTGTTAGTACAACATCGAGTTTTTTGAGAAAGCAAAATCTGGGTTTGGTTTAAAAATAGTATACCACTGAATTTTTTTCTTATTATAATAATTTCCTTTTTTTTTGAATGGGGCGAGATTTTTAACAAGAAGAAAAAATGGGGTTACTTACCCGGACTGGAGCTCCGAAAAGGGGCTGTCCACCTGGTCCACCATCCTGTTCGGCAACCTGCGAGGACATTTGAGCCCTTGCTTGACGTTGACGCTCACGGAGCCTGTCCCTATCCACACTGCAAAAAAAAATCCAAATCGAAAACTCACTTTTTATTCCACACTTTTAGACATATTAACACTTTTAAAACTTGAATCACATCAAAAAATCGCATTTTATATCAATAAATTTATTATTATTTTTAAAATTATGTTTTAATTTTTGGTTTAATGACAACACAAACACTTCAAGAATGTAACGATTTCTAATCTTATTTGTTATCTTTTTTTTTTTTAATTTTCAAACGTAATTAGAGCGGATTATAAAAAAAGATATCACATCGGTAGAGCATCGCGCAATTAACTAAAGGTTGCTTTTGCCAAATACTGTTCAATGTATGTCAGAGAGACGTGACGTTCACGGCTACGTCACGCGTACTGAGTGATGAGCACTTCTCTGTGGTGGGGCAATGGTGCTTTTGGCGTCTCTCTTAATAAGTGTAACTACAATAATATACAAATACTACGAATCCATTTAAATAATAAAGTTATATTTGGTGAATGGTTCATTATTTAAATAATTTAATAAAAAAAAATATAATAATTGCGCAAATTTTAAGATATCGATGATAAACAATCATAAAAATTATTATCAATGAAATGGTCAGTTTTATAGAGTATGCTTTTATCTTAAAAATTTTTAATATTGTGAGGTAATAAATTCGTTTTATCTCAAAATAAAATTATTATATATAACTATACTATGTATCATATATAGGATGGTTTAAAAAGGTAGCATTTTTAAATGAAATAAATAGCTACTTAAAAATCAAACAAGAAAATGCGCCCTCTGTTGAAATCTATTACTATTAACATAAGAAAACTTTATAAACAACTTTTCTAACAAAGATATTCTACAACTTCTTCCACCTTCTTCGTGTTCTACCATATCATGATTATTAATCTAGTAAAAGATGAGAAAAACCAATCAAAAAGGGTATGTATATAATTTATTTAAGAAAAGAACTTGAATATAATAATGAATCTCGACTAATATAGACTTAATTGTATAGTTTGATAGATTTTTTATTGCCATCAAAATGCTGTATGAATTAGTTTATATTATCACCGGAAAGAACGTTTCAACAATACATGCAAGGTTGTAAAAAAGACCACACCTTATTACTGCGCATAGAGCATCTCTGCAAATTTGTTGCAAATTACTAAAGAATTTCTGGTATTTATTAATTTCCTTTCCGATGGGTTATCGGAAATTAATCGCAAAATGAACTGGTAAAAAGGTGAATATTATTTCCTAAAACCTGTTGGCGGTTACTTGTTGATAAATTATTTATGACTGCTAATAAATTCTTGCGTTCTGTATCAATCATATCATCTTTCGCTAAGTTGGCGAAGGAATTAATCAGTAGAGTAGGAAATATCAAAATTGTTGTACAGTGTACATTTAGCAACGCTAGGTAATACTATAAGAAGATGCTTCAAATGTGCTACAAGGAAAATTGAAATTCGTACCAAGTCTAAAGAAAAAAATAGTGTGTTATAAAATTAGCCTATAGGCAAAATTAATTAAGCTGGACTAATCGAAAATCGGCACAACAATAGATTACTCCAAGAAAAAAATTTAGAATTACACTAGACACCAAGAAGAATTACAGATTCTGAATTGAATGAGATGTTGGAATTTAGATTCTAGATTCGAAGAAGATATCAGGAAATACACTAACCAGGAACTTGACTACAGGAAATAACCTATAAATAAACTTTAAATATTTTGCGTAGCCTTTAAAATCTTACTTGAGGTCTAAAATTACATTGCATTCGGTAAAGATTTCAAGAAGAAGTCTGGAGTTACATTGAATACAAAACCGATGGATAAGTCTGGATTTGTTGCATATCTTTTAAACTCTTAGCAGTTGTGTAAAAAGTCAGCCGAAAGAGTTAAAGTATGTCTAAAAAGAGTACAAACGATTTGTAATAATTTCCCAAGTGTTTTAACTAAGATTAAACTAATTCATAAAAGATTTTCAAAGAAGTTTTAATGATTTCAAGGTCTGTTTTTGGATTTCTGGCAGGGTTATCAAGGTAATCCAGTGAATCCATAAGATATTAACGGACTCTGTAATATTAAAAAATTTCTACACTTACTTAGAGATTTGTGGAAGAGGCTGGATTTCCAGTATATTTCCAAATACATCTAGATGAGTTTTAAAAGATTTTCATAGTTTTCCAGAGATTTTATAGATATAACCGATTATATTCACCGATTGCTAAGAGAGGCTCATTTTCGCTGATAACACCTTAATTATGGCTACCCACTCTGAACCTATATTGCTACCTAACATCTTTAGCACCATCTGGAGTTGGTTCAAGAGTGGCTACATTCTACTGTTGATGGGAAGTCATGTCAGGTGTTCAGGAATACCGTTGGATAATTGTTTCACTTGGAGCAATACAATAAAGGAAGATGTATTGGTATTTGAATAAAAATTCTTGCTTAAGTCGTAAATATAAACTTAGGTTCTACAAGGCAATACTGAGACTAATATGGGAATCTGGCCTAGTATACTAGGAACTGTTAGTTGTTTCACTAACATATCTGACAACTGCAACGATTTCAATCCAAAATACTCAGTAATATCTGTCAGGTACTATGGTATGTATCTCATCAAGTAATTGATAAATATTTTCAAATGTCAACATCGACGGAAGTAATTGTCAATTATTTAACAATAAGTTACCGACCCACCAGACGAGGTAAAATAAATAATTAATACCAGTACTGGGAGTGACACTGTGATAGTTTATTTTATTTTCATACCAAATCATAGAAACTTGATACATTTTTGATAACAGATTGCATAATAAAGGAGTCAATAAAGAAATTCCAGACCTATAGGATTCTATAACATTTTCTCTTTAGCAGAATCTGCGGCCTGCACCTAATTCTCTTTAGCAGCCTCTGCAGTTTGTATTCTGGCTCAGGGTTCTTTAACAGATTTTGCAACATCTATCAGTTCCTCTCTAGCAAGCTCTTTATTCTATCTATAGAATGTCTCTAGAACTAGTTTTCAATTAATGTTTTCTATTTTTATCTAGTTAAATATTATCATCATTCATAACATATACTTGTCTAGTATAGTACTATATATTTTCCATTGATATTTAATTCTTTGTCACTCTGTTTTTTTATTTGGCATGGGTCGATTTTACTGCAGTTTCTTATTGATTCTGAGGTTAGACTCGACATTTAGTATCTATTGTTCATTAAACGAGGACTTTTTATACTGAATTCTCTCCTCGTTACCAGACTATACGTTACGGAAATATTCTTTCTTGGTAGATGCCAGATTGTAGCTCTTTTTGTATCCAGAACTTCTCTTCTACGCACAACACTCAGAAGTAGGTGTCTTATTTCTCTTATACCAAAGTACGATTCTTCATGTTCTATTCTGAAATACCTAATTCTAACACATAGGATTTTAAGAGTTTTGAATATTACCATGCAATCATGAAATATATCTATCAATTTTTTTTTGGATTTCCAAGCTTTACTAAGAAATTCTACAAATCCTGAATCCTAATCAGGAATTTTCAGACTATCTAGAAATTTGAAAGCATTTTTAGAGAGTGGAATTTTTTTTAAACGATTTTTTTTAATTCCAAGTATTTCAAAAGAATTTCTTATGGTTTCCATGCATATACAAGGAAGATTAGAGATTTACCCTACTTTCTAATGATTTTCAGAAGATTTTCAAAGATTTCCAGAGATTTGGGACTTACTATAGTTTGAGATCTTAAAGAAATTTTCTTTCAAGGATTTCTACATGGGTAGTTCTAAATAGTTGTAGGTGAATTTCAAATGATTTTCAAAGAGGATGCTTTTAATGGTATTTCGATATCATTAAGAATACGCAGATTTCCATATATGTAAACGATTTCCAAAGAAGTTTAGAGGATTACAAGGAATTTTAAACTTCCTGGTTACTTCTAGAAGATTTCTTAGGCATACTAAGAATATTCTGGGAGTATTTTCTGTCCTAAGTATTTTTGCGGATTTCTAAGGACATCCATGAATTGTCAAGGATAATAAAAAGTGAGGTTAACATGAAATCAAGATTAAAATTAATCCAAGCTGAAATTGATTTAAATCATATACCTATCTAACGAGATTTGATCTATAAGGAAATAAGTTAATATGTACAGATTCAATATTCGATGTCTTTAGCACCTTGGAAACCTGCCTTTATAAGAACATGAGAAGATATTGCCTTTCAAAATCTTCAAAATTTGATGTTCAAAATCAAATTATTTAAATTATCGAAAATGGGATATCCTAAACATCAAAACTTCCATTGATGATTAGAAACAACATGATACTGCAGTCATAGTTGGAGACTGAATGAATTTGTATTATTGCAATAAGACTCAATAGATCAGAGTTAGCTGGAAGATGCCTAGAAGAAACTTGATTAAAAAAAGTTTATGATTTAAAAACATTATTGCCAAGAATAAGAACTATTGAGTACAATCTTCTACAATTACAAGATAGGACAATTACAGAAAATCTCTAGGAAGGAGATTTCAACGTTTCAACAATACCGAATGATTTCGAAGCTGAATAGGAGATATATTTCGAAATATAGAGTGTCATAGATGCAACGCCTATAACTATAAAGTCTTTCGTTGGAGACAAAGTAATCTTTATTGCATTTGTAATACTATAGTCTCCATCTAACACAGCGTTGTTCATATTTAACGATTGGATGTTTCTTAATATATGTCTAATTAACACCAAATTAAAACCAAAATATTGACCATTCATCAAAAAAGACATATGTTTTTGTTATTACGTTAGTTTATATGTAATAAGAAAATAACAACATTTAATGTTTACTTCGTTATTTTATTTTTCAATTAATGTGATGAGGTTATTTGTTTGTAAGTATAAAATGGAAGATAAGTTTTTATCGTTTTGGGTTGGGTTTTAACTCTTTTCTTTTTTAAGAAGTATAAGGGTCGATTCAATCTCATTTCATGACACGTAGCAATAAACCGGGAG